GAAATTTATTTTATAAAATTTTGATGGAGAATATATAGTTTGTGTATGTTATTAGTGTGCAGTTAAATTAAGGCACCAGTTAGAGAAAATTTTGGTTTGCGTTGCTTGTAGTTCAAGTCAGGGAGGCAATTGCATGATAGCCAACAAAGACATATTCCACATAAAAAAAATTCAGTAGGAATATATATATATATATATATATATATATATATATATATATATATTAGTTATTTATCAAATTAAGAATTTTAATTAACTGAATAATTAAATAGAGTTAAAAAATTAATTAAATTTTTATATTATAATTAACTAATTGAATATGAACTTTTTTTAAGGGAAAAGATTAGCTCATATCATTAATAAAATATTTTGAATACATGAAATTTTAAGAACTAGTAAGAGATTGAGCCACTCGTGTCAGAGCATGAACAACCCCATTAGTTTGTCTTCTAACGAACTTAACACCAGGGTTCTTCAAAAAAAGAGTCATCAACTGATTGCATTCATCAATAACAGCTTCGAAATCCGAGTCATTAGGTTTCATAGTGTTCACATTATCCACAACTCGTTTTGCATCTAACTCAAAATCTATATTATCGTAGCCCAGATCATGGATCCATTTTAAGAGAGAGAGAGAGAGAGAGAGAGAGAGAGAGAGAGGAGAGAGAGGAGAGAGGAGAGAGAGAGAGAGAGAGGAGAGAGAGAGGAGAGAGAGGAGAGAGAGAGAGAGAGAGAGAAGTGTGACTAGAGTTTCACAAACTAGATTTGGTCAAGATTCAAATACTTTAACATATAAGGGTTTTATTTATAGAACTACTTGTGTGTGTTGCAAGCTAAACAAGTCCACTAAGCACATTGTTTCTTACAGTTCATTGTATTTCACTTGAGTGCATCATATCTTATGGTGTTTCGTATTCTACTTAAGTACATCGTACCTTAAGGTATTTATTATTTCACTTAGGTACATGGTACCTTATGATGTTGCATATTACACTTAAGTACACAATACTTTACGATGAATAATGTCTCTCTAATTAACGTTGGTGCATTACAAGATCATATAATCGAATAAGGTTCACTTATTTATTTTCTCCCATCAATATGTCTTTATGTGTGTGACTTTGTAGGTTCTTGTGATATTCATAATTATATCAAATTACACATTTAATATAATAAACATTAAGCGGTATATAGCAACACATCACTGATATCTAAGTCAAAAAAATGGCATGCGATATGACAAAACCTTATGTGATAACGCTCATGTGTATAAGTACCCTTCTACCCTTGTGTCTATATTGAACATAGGCATAGATTATGACAGTCTTATATAGTTTAATATTGGATCCTTTGTAACGCTCTAAACTTATATAAAAAGAATTAAACAAAAATTTAGGATGTCACTCGACAAAACATGCATACTTTCAAAATTAAAATTCAATATTTCGTTACAGAAAATAACCACAACATAAAACCATTTGTCATTTTAAAATAATACTTGGAATTAAACAACTTAATTCAAGGAAACAACTCAAACACCCATTTCCAATGTATAGATCAGAGCATTTTAAACCAACTCAAATAACCATAACGAAAATAAACGAAGATAAGCTCCAAGGCTCTCTTCCAAACTCACGGTAGCTAGATCACTCTTCCTAAGTATCCGTACAATAACATACTAAACAAACACTGACAACAAAGAAAAGGTGTGAGAATAATCTTCGATATATTAACAATGTAAAGAATATGAGGGTACATATAAAGCATACAACAACAGTACCAACATTCACTTATACAATAATTCACAATCAATAATTTCCACTCAACACCATAAATAATTCACACCAATATCATAGAGCTTATATGTATGCAATATAACTCACGACTCAATGTTATGCATGTGGTACCAACTCAATATTTGATTCTCTTGGGAATCGGGTTCACCCTTCTGAACCCATGAGCCTCCCCTTCTGAGCTCCAAGCTCCCCCTTTTAAGCTTGGAACAAGCCACTAGTCCCTCTTCATAACTAGTGAACATGTCTCTTTCAACAACACGACACAAATTTTGCATGTCATACAAATCAATACAACAGCAATAACAATGTTTAACGCCCCCTTATGACCATAAACAACATGCATTGACAAAACAATAATAGTACCTCTTCTAAATTACTATCCAATAATCATAACAACAATGCATACAAGCATATAAATAGTTCCCTCTGTTGAACTATCACCATAACACAACAATCATAATTATGTACATATCACATAATTAATCACCTTAGCACAACAATCACAATTATATACACATCACATAATTAATCACTAATCACCATAACACAACAATCACAATTATGTACACATCACATAATTAATCACCAATCACTCAATAATCATGATTGATTTATTATTATAATAACATATAATATTTAATCAATTAATTTTACCAACATACATCTAATTGTAATTATAATAATTCCACACAATAATTATAATCACATATATGACACATTTTACAATAATCAAATCATTACCTATACATCAATTAACATCCAAATTAACCAATTAAATCGATTACAACAATTAAAGTTCTTTCATCATAGTTAACCATCACATATTATTATACCTTAAGGAAAACAATTTATTCACGCCCTTAACTGAATATTAAGTCTGTTATGGTCCCACCATTAGATAGTACTACGTGTTTGCTTTCTAACACTTCAAACCGTATCTCAAACGGAGTCACAAAACTCAAATTATGATAAAAACAATATTTTAATAAAATTAGCCTAATCGGTGACGGTTCGACCGTCACCAAAGCTGACACCCGTCAGCTCTTTCACGACGCTCTGAACTGCTGCAAAATGCAGAATTCTGCATTTTTTCACTGTTGGAGGCCTTCCGAACCTCCGATTTGGATTTCGTAAAAATCCAAACGTCAGAATTCGACATACAATAATTATATAACAATTGTAAGTCAACCAATACAAATTATACATACCCAACATCAATTAATCCCTTACTTTTCATAAATTCAAGGTTAAGTTTCAAAGCTTCAAGCACACAACAATGACAACCAACAAAATTCAGAAATCATTCAATACAACATGTATCAAAATAACATCTTATAGTGCATTAATTTCATATAATAACATGGCATATAACATGGTTTCCTCATAAACATACAAAAACTCAAGAAAATTCAAAAATGGTAAAAACTCTAGAGGAGTGTGAGGATCCTTCTCCACCCTTCATCAATCACACTAATATTCAAAGTATTTCCCATACCTGATTTTTCCAATAATTTCTCTTTAACAAATGTGAACTCTGGAACAAGGAGGGACTTGGTATGTATAAAATTTGAGGAAGTTTGACAAGGGAATACGACAACGGAGCTTTGAAACAATTATTTTTCCATTGAAGACCAAGTTTATCATTGAGTTTCATGTATAATTTCTTTAAATTCTAAGCTATGGATTATGGTAGTATGAGTAACTAATTTTCCATTGATTAGTTTTTTATGAGATGAACCTATTTTGATTTACTAGGACATATGATATGTTTTGTATTATTTGCTTAAATTGATATTGCAGTTTCTATCCAGTTACTCTATTGTGTATTGATTTTTATATGTTGGCGAACTCATAGGTTGAGCCTAGGTGTGTAGGGATTATTGAACCTAACTATGTACACCTGAATTAGAGTAATTAAACAACTTAGTAGTTGATTTAGGGATAAAAAATTATAAGTTGTGACTTAGGAATAACATGTTTATTTTGCCTAATTTAACTTCGAACTTACTTATAAAATTAGGAACTTGTAGTTTAATTTAGTGAGTTATACACAAAAAAAATTGGTATAACGGTTGTGTTAATTCATTGTAATAGTGTGAAATTAATCTAAAAGCAAAAAATGTGGTCATCAGTAGTGAGATTTAGGGAATTCGAATAAGGTGTGGTTATCTTTTAATTTGATAGTTTCCACACTCATGTTCACTTTCTATTGTTTACTCAAAATCATGGCGAACTCTCAATTTTATATTTTAAAAACACGTTACAATTGTTTTTCTAAAATACAACAATCTCTATGGAGACAAATTATTTTTATTACTTGTGACATTTTTAGTACACTTGCTAAAACTTTATCTAGTGGTATACACCACTATCACCTCGAAAATAACTTATAACACTTACATAACATTCTATGTTGTATTCTCATGGTGAGTCAATCTAGTATAAATATTACTCTTAATATTTATAATATGTGAAGACTTGATAACTCTTCATCCATAATCCGTGAAATGTGATCATCAATCTATATCCATAATAGTCTAAATGCTTTAATGTTATCCCAGTTCACAATAATGTTTGGCCATAAATACTTTAAAAATTATGTCCTTATATTTAATGGTGTCTCAAAACAAAGTCAGATTTAGTGCTTCTTCGAATAAACTAACTATTCTATGAACTTTCACTACTAAAAAAAAGACATTTGAGAAAAGGTTTTTACATCGGATATCAAAATATATGATGTAAAAAATACAATTAACAAATTTTTTACATCAGGTATTTATTTGCAATGATATAAAAAATAAGAAAAAAAATATATTTCGCTACCTATTACATCGGGCAAACGCATCCACCGATGTAAAAAGTTTTCAAAAAAATATACGGTGACATTTTTGTGAATAAGAAACAAGGTAGTAGAAATATTAATAAAAAACAAGCAACATATTACATCGGTTAACTAAAAACTGATGTAATATCTTCACAGCTGATATTAATATAAAAAATAAATTAAAGAATAAATTAAAACAATTACATCGGAGAAAGTTTAAACCGATGTAAAAAAGTCAGAAAAAGAAGCTTGCATCGGGTATTAGTATCCACCGATGTAATAGGTTCAAAACCCTTACATCGGTTATTAGGATCCACCGATGTAATAGCTTCTCTACTATGCAAACCCTTACATCGGGTTTTCATTTCCACCGATGTAAAATGTCCCAAACCCTTATTTCCCAAATTCACAATATTTCAATATTTCCACTGTACAAAATCTCCTTACCGCCGTTTCACTATTTCCACTGTCCGCCATTTCCGTTCAGTACCCTTACGACCACCACCAAACCCGCAACTCTCCCTCCCGGCCCACTCCACATCCCCATCCTCACAAGCCTCCTATGGCTCCGAAAATCCTTCTCCCAACTCGAACCTTTTCTCAAAACCCTTCACGCCAAACACGGTCCCATCATCGCTCTCAGAATCGGTTCTCGACCTTCCGTTTTCATCACCGACCGTTCTCTCGCTCACCATGCTCTCGTTCATAACTCGTCAATCTTCTCCGGCCGCCCTAAAGCACTTCCCACCGGAAAGCTCATGTCCAGCAACCAACACAATATCAGTTCCGCTTCTTATGGTGCTACATGGAGAACCCTCCGCCGTAACCTGGCCTCCGAGATGCTCCATCCAGTGAAAGTCAAATCTTTCTCAGAAATCCGGAATTGGGTCCTTGACACTCTCATCAACCGTCTCAAAACGGCTTCGGAGTCTGAATCCTTTATGGCTATTCCCCACTTTCATTATGCAATGCTCTGTTTACTTGTTTTTATGTGTTTTGGTGAAAGAGTTAGCGATGAGAAAGTTAATGAAATTGAACGTGTACAAAGGACGCTTCTGTTGAGTATGAGCAGATTCAATATATTGAATTTTTGGCCTCAAGTTACTAAGATTTTGCTCAGGAAAAGATGGGAGGAGTTGTTAAAGTTGCGTAAGGGTCAGGAAGATGTTTTACTTCCGCTGATGAGAGCCAGGAAGCAAAATAAGGGAAGTAAGAGTGTTGTTTCTTATGCGGATACTCTCTTGGAGTTGGAGTTAAAGGAGGAGAATCACAAGTTGAATGAAGATGAAATGGTTAGTCTTTGTTCTGAGTTTTTGAATGGTGGCACGGACACGACTTCCACGGCTTTGCAGTGGATTATCGCGAATTTGGTCAAGTATCCGGATGTGCAGAGAAAGCTTGTGGAGGAGATTAGGGAGGTAATTGGTGGTGATGATAGTGGATTGACCAAGATAGTGGCACCTGGCGGTGAAACTTTGGGTGGTGTAATTGGTGCTTTCCAACACATGATACGAACTGAAGGCATCTTTTCTCTATACAAGGGTTTAGTACCGTCACTTATAAGCATAGCTCCTTCTAGTGCTGTTTTTTATGGTGTATATGATATGCTAAAATCATCTTATCTGCATTCACCCGAAGGAATGCAAAGAACCCAGAATTTGCATAAACAGGGTCAGGAACTGAGTGCCTTTGATCAGCTTGAGTTGGGGCCAGTAAGGACATTGTTGTATGGGGATATTGCTGGTGCATGTGCAGAAGCTGCTACGTACCCGTTTGAAGTTGTGAGAAGGCAGTTTCAATTGTAAGTCCAGTCTACTAAATTAAGTTCTTTAGCAACTTTTGTCAAAATAGTGGAACAAGGAGGCGTTTCAGCCCTCTATGCTGGACTTGTTCCCAGCTTATTACAGGTATCAAATTCTTAATTTTGTTGCCATGCTCTTGTCACTTGTACTTTAATGGACTTATATTTATCAGTTTTGAATATCTATTTTCTGAGGACTTAGAACTATTATGCAGTAGTACTCAATCTGTTCATATTTATTATTCCTCGCTAATATTAGAACTACTTAAAGTTTATAATGTAGAGAGTGTAGATTAAGGTTCATGTAGGGCGTTGTTTTGTTTTTACAATCTAAATTCCATTTACATTTTACCATGGTGCTCAAAGGCTGTTGGCTCTATATAGTCATCTAATCTCCTCAGCACTTTATGAAATGTTTTGATTGTTGCTATAAGATTATTTTCCCCATAAAATTTCATAATATCAATTGTTTATGCCAAAGCAAAAACCTTTTTTATCATGGAAATGTATATACCTTACATGAAAACAAATCTACGAGGCTTTATGGTTGTCTTCCTCTTGTCTAAATTTAGATCCTAAATAGAAGTATGTTTCCATTTAGACCTTGTGTAGTATGTTAGCTTTTGTTCCTTTTTGGTATAGTGATGAGGAAATGATTTCAATTGAGACATATTTGTTAATCTTCGTGCTTTTAGAGAATAAAGATGTTGAATTGTTGATAACATTAAAGCTAAACGTGAAGTTGTGTAAACAATAGAGACGTTGATTTCAATTGGCATTATTATTATCTATAAATTTGTCATAAGTCCATAACAATAAAGCTATGTAAATAAGTTTGAAATTTGGGATAGTCCTTTTGATTTTGAAACTAATTAATGATCTTTTATCTATTGTTACAGTCAAATATGACTACTGACAAAGGAGTAGATGGTTCTGATGCATCCTTTTCCATTTCCATGGCCGAAAATCAAGTAAGTTTTGGTATTATTATTGTTTTTAATGTCCTTAATTACATTAGTTTGGTGTAATTGATTGGTGTCCATTATGTATTTGCAGCCTCAAAATAATCTACCGATGCCTATAACAAATCCACCTCAAACTATTAATTTAGACAATGTTCATACTAGTAAATGAGGGACTTTAACAAATCCGATTCCATAATTAAATGAGGGACTTTCTGACATTGAATCAGACTAACACACATGCTTGAAAAAAATGGTATGTTTTAAATGATGAAGCAATATCTATTTTTTTTATTTACAAAATTCTTGGTGATGAACCAATATCTATCCTAAGTGATGTCTACTCTTGTGGACTTTCTGTGTTTACAAGGAAACAATAGTTCTTGTAATGGTTACAATAATTCTTGTAATGGTTATAATAAATATCTTTCTGGTTATAAGGAAACAATAAATATCTTTGTGTTTACTTTTTGTTTTTCGACTTAGTATGAATTTTTTTAAAATAACTCTATATTGTTATATTTATGTATTATAGGTATTTGATGACCCAACAAAATTAACACAAGATAATTTGTATGATTTGCGACTCTGTTGGGCAAAATGTTTCTTTGAGTTATATAAAAATTAAGTTTATCTTGGTGAGTTTTATAGAATTGTCTAAGTTGTGGTTTTTGCACATAATTGTTATTATTGAGTTTTTGCACAATACATGTGGTTTTTGCACATGTATTGAGTTTCTTGATTTTTTTTGCTGATGTTAATTGTTATTATTTATTGTCAGGCAATGTGATTTTGGTGTTGTCTACCGAAGCTATAACTCATCTACTTGTGGATTTTATATTCGTGATTCAAGTTTGGAAAAAGACTTATAAATAGTTGAATATTTTTGTATATTTTGTGAAGAATATGTAATTGTAAGTTTGTTGTAAGTTTGTTTGTTGTGATACAATAAAAGTTTGCAATACAATTGTTCAATTTGTAAGTTTGTTGTGAAAAATATGAAAACATCGACCTAGATGTGGTCTATGTGATGTTGGAAAGCTATGAAATCTATATAGCGACATAAATATAGTCCGTGTGATATTGGAAAAATATGAAAAAATGGGTACAAATTATTTTTGTACAGGGAAACATCCAAAAAATAAATAATTTATTCTAAAAAAATTTCATACATTTTACATCGGTTATTACTCCCAACTGATGTAAAAAATTTCAAAAAGGGACTTTTTACATCGGTTATTACTCCCAACCGATGTAAAAAGTTGCGTCACTTTTTTTAAAATAATGATATAATTGTTTCTTACATCATTCTTATATTATAACCGATGTAAAAAAAAGACTTTTTACATCGGTTATTACTCCCAACCGATGTAAAAAGTTGCGTCACTTTTTAAAAAATAATGATATAACTGTTTCTTACATCATTCTTATATTATAACCGATGTAAAAAAGAGACTTTTACATCAGACCCAGAACCGATGTAAAAAGTACCTGATTTACTATATCGCCTGACTTTACATCGGACCCATAACCGATGTAAAAAGTCAGTTTCACCCGATGTAAAAAGTCATTTCTGCACTAGTGTTTATTACTTTAGAAAAATAAACATAATAAAGAAATGTCTTATTATTATTAGGCAATTCGATACAAGTACCAAATTCTAATAAAACTATTGATATCTAGGACTTACACAAGAAGTGTCATCCAATTATATTTGGTTGCAGTTTTATCTACATGTAACCCTTGAATCATTGTTTAAACATAATCTTTGCCACAAAATATCCTTGATTATTCTTCTCTTCAATCTTGGATTTCTTTAAAAAAAACTGACGAATATGTTAGAACAGTAACTCAAATACAGATCAGAGAAGAGAAAAACACACAAAATCTTTTCTCATGTGGTTCGGCCAATGGTGTATACCTTTGCGACTATATAGTATGCAAAGCTATAGTTCCCTTTATTTATATTTTCTAAATTTATTAGACTATAATTTTACAAGCAATACAAATGATACTTAGGTTTAGTTTATCAAAAACCCTAATCACTAGTTTTCTTCAACAAATAATTATCTCTACCCATAATTAACTCAATAATATGAGCTATACTCTAAAAAATCTATAATTATCTCAACAACTCATAATTATCTCAATAATATGAGTTATACTCTCAACAATCCATAGTTATCTTAGTAATCTATAATTATCTCAACAATATGAGCCACACTTAATAATATCCATATTGGCGAATATCAAACCCTTATGAAAACTTCCTGTATAACGATTCATCCTGGAAATTTGGGAGGTACACCTCCTGCTTAACACTGAGAAACATGTAACAAGTCTAAACAAAATTTTTACTTGGCACTGATGACTGACTTGGCCAACATATCAACTCCATTCTCTAAAGCGTGAACCTTCTGAAGTAATATCTGTATGAACGCCAACAACTCCCTGATCTTGTGGAACCTCACATCAATATGCTTGGTCATATCATGGTACATGTAATTGTTCTCCAAATAGATAGCACTCTGACTATCACAATGCAATTGAACTCCACCTTGCTCAACACCAACTCTTTCACTAACCCTATAAGCCACAGTGCTTCCTTGGCATCTTTAGCTACTGCCATGTATTATGCCTTAATTGTAGACATAACTACTATGGATTGAACCAACGATTTTAAGCATATAGGTCCCCCGCAAGAGTAAAGACATACTTTGTTGTATAACGACCATCAACCAGATCACCTAAATAATCATAATCTACATATCCCACAAGTAATGAAACACCCTGCTCCATGTTGAACATGATACCACAACTTGTTGTACCCTTTAAGTACCTTAGGATTCTCTTGACTGCTTCCCAATGCTGCTTCTCTAGTTTGGACATGAACTCGCACGCTTGACTAACAAGTCATGTCAAATCCAGTCTAGTGCAAACCTTATCAAACATAAAATAACTAACTAACTCTCATAAATAATCTTAGACATACCTTCAATCTCCGAGTCTGTCTCCAGACATTGTTCCAAAGAGAGCTTAAAATGATTCGCCAATGGAGTATCCAAAGGCTTTGCTTTGTTCATGTTAAATATGCTCAAAATACCTTTAACATTGCTTTTATGAGACAACCATAATTTGTAAGCTCCTCTGTCCGTGTGAATTTACATCCCAATAATCTTCTTTGTAGCACCTAAATATTTCATATCAAACTCCTTACCTAACTTTCTCTTTAACTCATTTACATCATGCAAATAGTTGGTAACAATCAACATATCATCAACATAAAGTAATTGAAAAATAAGAGAGCCATCATCAAGGTTCGCCACATAAAACAACAATCATAATTGCACCTTCTATAGCCAATCTGAAGCATGTATGAATTAAAGTTCTCATACAAAGACCTCTTCAATTTGCAAATAAGTCTTATAAGTCCATTATCCCTGAATCTCTCTAGCTGCTCTATATAGATTTACTCCTCTATATTACAATGGATGAAAACTATTTTCATACCCATTTGATCTAAATGCATATCTCTACTGGATACCAGAGCCAATACTTCCTTTATAGAAGTGTGTCGAACCACCCTACTGAAAATATTATCATAAGCAATCTTCTTGTACTGTGAATACCCCTTTGCAACTAAGTAAGCCTTGAACTTTTTCCCTTTTTTTTGTTACTGCTGGATATTTCTTGTAAATCCAATTGCAACCAATAGGTGTCTTTCCATGAGGCATATGAACAAAATCTCATGTCTCATTCTTTTTCAAGGACTCCTCTCCTCCACCATAGCACCCAAATACTCACTGCTACAGAAAATACATATAATGACAGTTGCAAAACACATATTATGACAATTGCACATATGTTGTTAGGTAGCGTGTGATTGTATGTATGTTGGTTTCCACAACGGGCTCGTGGTCGTGGTTTTAAGTTAGGTATCGCACTACTTATAACTACGGGTGAAGAAAATAACTATCATGAAATAATGTATAGGTCCCGGGTTCGAATCCCAAAAACACCATTCTTGGGTTTTATTATTCTAGATAAAGATTTGCTTATAACAACGGTTGAGTTAAAAAAGTGTTGTGATATTATTTATTTATTTTTAATATATATTTTTAATTTTACAGAATTCCCAAATTTTTAACCTGAGTATTTTTGAATCATATCGGACCAGAAACAACAATACACTCATCTGTGAATTGAATTAGACCAAAAATTGTATTACATCAATGACACAACTCCATTAAGAATCAAAAGTTGTATATTACATCAACATTAAAATGACACAAAACAACCTACAATGTACAAATCGTTACATCAAATAATAATATCTTGTTGTCTTGGTGTTTTGTCTCTTGGTGTCTTAACTTTAAACACCTATAATTTCAAATAATAATAGTTTTTAGAAAATAACATCATTAGAAATTATAACTTACAATAAATTATGAATGAAGAATATAAAATACTTAGTTGTTAATTTTTACATATTCTTTCTTGATGATCGTTACGAATAACATGCACATCATCTCTATTAACTTATTCATATGAAGTAGACACTTGTGTTGTGTAAGAAGGAGTGGAAGGAATATCAAAACTTTCATAACTATTAGGAATGTGTTTTTCTTCGAGAATAATTGACTATCTTCTCGATAAGCCTACAGGGTCTGTCACATGAAAAACTTATTTTGCTTGAGTAGCGATGATGAATGGTTTCGTCATAAAAGTTGCATTATCAAGGTTAACCAGTGTGAATCCTAACTCACCAGTTTGTACACCATTATTATTTGGAATCCACTTGAATTTAAATAAAGTAACTTTAAACATAACATAATTAATGTATCAAATCTCCTCAATGACACCATAGAACGTGGTAGTTGCCAAAATAGAATTCTTATCTTTCAAATTAGAGAAATACATGGATTCAGCCTCAACCATAACCCCACTATTTTGCATTATACTATGATCATATTTTACTTTTGTATAAAAGGAATAATTAGAAATATTGTATGTCGTCCAATTTATCATAGTAAATTTTGGCATGTACAATAACCATTTAATTGTCTCGAATGCACCATCATCATTAGAAATCCTCTTATTAAACCAACTTATGAATTTTTTGTTATGTCGTGTCAACAACCACTTGTTATTCATTCGGGGATATGTTTTCTT